CCCCCCCCCCCCCCCCCCCCCCCCCCCCCGAATATGCTGGACGTGATTCTGTTTAAGCTGTGTTTAAGAGAGCTCTGGAGCTGGATGCTGCCTGGGTACTGGTGACATCTGTTGCAGTTTCATCTCTCCTCACTGGCTCTCATCTGCATAAGGATGTTGTGCAAGAACCAGCTCTCTGCTGACCGACTCCAGGGCATATTTGCCCACAGAGTTCTCTGGTTCTGCTCCAAGAATACAGGATGCGAACCAGGACAAGGTCAAACCCAACATGATGCTGGGAGTAGAGTGGGACCGTGTTCCAGACTGCTGAAAAGGATGCTTTCAGGGAGCTCCTCCTAATAAAAAGCACTCCCTCTTCCATGCGTCTTCTGACAAAGAGAACACCGCTGACAAAAGGCTAGTTTGTTTGCAAGATGTCCCTTAGCTAGTGTTGTAATTTGATGTACTACTGCAAAGTTCATTGGCTACAACTAGTTCACAGTATTAATGTTTCAAATCTGAACAGCCTTCTCCGTTATTTCCTCAGTTCCCTCCCCCTGCCCTCCACACAGACCTAGCAGATACTTGTGTTACCAGCAATAAGAGACTGGTGTGCTTTACACCTGATGCTCTAGTTCCAGTTCCACAGAAATCAAATCAAGGAAGTAAGGATCCTTTTGTTGTTCCAATAGTTATTACATAGTTATTATCGCATTGGCTCAGTAAGAGCGTATGTGCTGCAATAGAAAGTATTTGGATCTTTGCCTCCCCACCAAAACTGACAAGTGATCAAGCAGTGTTCTCAAACCAAAATAAGACCTAAAACCATAACAAGATCAGAGCATTCAGGTAATAGGTTTAGCACAGCACATACAGTAAGGCAGAAGGTCATGCTGAAAGTACCAAAAATCTAGATTTTCCAAGTGTGCCGACATGAAAACATGTCAAAATCTGCCCCACGCTTGGACCAATGGGATCAAAACATGCTTTTAAGTCAGTTACAGACTGGTTTCAGTCACTTCTTCCTTAACACCTCTCCCACACCTCCTAGCCCTTGGAGATTCAGGGAGGATGTTCTGAGTCATGCCTTGGCCAGTAATGTCAAAGAGAGTTTCTAACTCTCAGTTTGAGGATCAAGGTGTCCCACATCATGTCCCAGGTGTATTTTTAGAAACATTTCCCCCTTCTTTCTGCTGGTGCACTCCTAGCTGCATTCCTGATCTGCTTGCGTTTTACACCGCATCTCTGAGCTATCTACCTGCACATGGATGTTGTGCAAGTATGCACAGATGACTTGCAGACATCTCAATTCCACCTCTGGTCTTCTCTGTCCATTCAGAATAGGCCCTTTCACTCCCTCCTCCAATCTCTCTCCAGATAACCCACTGACAAACCTATCACCTAAAACCAAATTCACACGTGGGGAATAAAAACAACCAAACAACAACAAACCAAAACTCAAAACACTGTTCTTGTTTAAAATGGACAACTACTCTACTTTCCAGATTCATGAGTCAACACAGAGTTGTGTTTGCCAATTCCTTCCCTCAGTTCCAGAAACTCCATTGCTAAATTAGGTGAACTTAACAAAAACAAATGGGATTTGGTCTTCTACCACTGCATTCATTAAAGATCTGAACCAATCAATGGCAACATGCGTGATGATATTAGGTATGAACAGTACGCATACCCAACAGGCACTTATTTTTACTATATGTGTAGCTTACCTTTCTGCCCATGACGACTGCTAAATTTATCTCCAATTTCTGGGCGTCTAGTTTGCCTCAATAACATTTTGATCAAGAAAGCGTCCTCTGCATTGGATGAAATCATTACTTTTTCAATGTAAGAATCAGTCGCACCTTTGTAGCTAGCACAAGAAGACAAAACAGGAGTTTTAAATGTATGGACCAAACACAAGTTACAGACAAGTATCTATGTATAGGTAAGCTTCTGGCTAAACGGAAGTCTTCATGGGACTTATATATGGGAGGCCAATAGAGCAAAGATTATACATATAAAGTTTCAGAGCACAGTATGTTCTCTGGATGAGGCTTTGAGCAACCTGGTCTAGTGGAAGGTGTCCCTGCCCATGGCAGGGGGGTTGGAACTAGGTGATCTTTAAGGTCCCTTCCAACGCAAACCATACTATGATTCTGTGATTCTATGTTTCTCGAAAAGAAAAGGCTTAAGAAATAAAATAGAAACAAAGTTAAGATGAACTTGTAAAGAACAAGGTACATTTTTTTTTTTTGTCACAGAGGCTTTTCTTGATGAAAATAGCTTTCTAGTATACAAACAAAAGCCAAAAAGACTTAGAGTTGAAGAAGAGAGTTTAAGGAATATACTATGAGAATTGAAGAACAAAATTGAGGCATAATATCCTGACTGAAACTATGTATCAGGTGCAGGTGAGGAAACGAACCAAGGGCAGAACACAGTACGAGGTACAGAAAGAGATGACCTCTAGCATCTGAGATGCAGAGATTTTGGAAGGAGAGAGGGGAAAAAAAACCAAAACCAACCAAACAAACAAAAAAAAAGAAGAAAAAAAGGTAGGCATGACATAGCAGGAAGGAAAAGGAAATTATTCTGGTATCAGCTTTTTTCTATATATTGCAGAATGCCGGTAGAACAGATTTTAAAACCTTATTTAGGAGATCATTTTGTCTCATTGTTCAGGTAGCTAAGAAGGTCAAACTGTGACATCTAAATGCAGAGCCCTGGATCCGTGTCTTTACCTGGCAGGATTGCTTCTTTCCTCCTGATTATTGCACTTTTGCCTCACTTCTTTATTAATATCTTTGCAAGGGCCTGTAGTGACAGGACAAGGGGTAATGGGTTCAAACTGAAAGTGGCGAGGTTTAGATTGGATATCAGGAAGAAGTTCTTCCCAGAGAGGGTGGTGAGGCACTGGAACAGGTTGCCCAGAGAAGCTGTGGATGCCCCATCCTTGGAAGTGTCCAAGGCCAGGCTGGATGAGGCTTTGAGCAACCTGGTCTAGTGGAAGGTGTCCCTGCCCATGGCAAGGGGATTGGAACTAGATGGTCTGTAAGGTCCCTTCCAACCCAAACCATTCTATGATTCTATGATCTTGTAGGAGTAAAGCTAGTGCTTTCTATTGGTTATGAGACACACAGAAGTGCAGCACAGCTAATTCTTACTTTCTGATCTGGGCACCAATCACTTGCCTTGCTCTCTGCTAACTTACCAAACTGCCAAGGCTATTCCTGACAGTTAAATATTAAATATTTATTAATTAAATACCACATTTAATGCAAAATTTTCATCTCACACCTTGGAAACCCTCTCCTCTTCTTTCGGGACAGGACAGGAAAAACCTCTTACTGACTGTCCTTCCCCCTTCGCTGCCCATAAAGGACATCTAATTGGAGTGGCCAGAATGAGCTGACTGTCAGCCTCTGAGACAGGAAGACCTCCATCTCCTGGCCTCCTGCCTGGCAAAGTGAAGGCTGAATACCAGCCAGCAGTGGCCATTTCCTGTGGGAGCCAGTATGGAGATGTGCCCCCTAGGTAAGTACACGTATGTTCTCTGCCTGCCCACTCATCCTGCTTTTCTCCTATTTCTATATCACTTTATCCATGAGAGACATCTCTTCCCCCCAGTTTCTCCTGGGAACCTACTCAGCGTCTCCTCTCTATACATACATCTTTAGGAGAGTTCCTTCCTCTCTTTGCAGTTTCAGCCTTTCAGGTGTCAGAATCTATCTTAGTGCCTAATTAGTGGCTAGGCACTTCTCAAAGTAACTTGGGCTCAGAAAAATCCTGTGAAAAATCAAGACCTAGAAAACTAGGTCTAATTTCCCACTGGACGTTTATTCCTTTGACTTTTCTAGAATTGAGTATTTTCTCAGATACCCTTCCTCCATGTACCTTCCCCCAACTATAAAGTTATGACACAACGTACGTTATTGGCACATCTTTGTACTGTGGCTGCTGAGGCACACTACTTCCTTCCAGAGGTGTCTGGGTCACAGTTGGCATGGATTTGTTCACAAGGACTTGCTTATTTTCTACTTTTTCGCCTACAAAGAAGAATAAGAAAAAAAGCACCATGAAAACATATTGGCTACCAATGTTAGAAATACATTTTAAGCTTTAAAATGTGGTAAGCTACAAGAAAAACTGGGAGGAACATGCCCAAGAAGTATGTCATGTTATATTATTAAACACTGCATGGTAAGGGAATCATTATACTAGCTTTGTTTTGGTAAACCAAAACAGAACAGCTTGCAAGCTGGGTGCACTATGAGACTAGCTATTCAACACACCCTCGGTCTGAAGAACACACCAAAACACCTGAAGTCATCTGTCCTAAGTATGGAGAAAATTGACAAGCAACACTGTCACTGACAAATTTTAGAAATTCACACCTAATTTCAGGACATAACATCATTTTCACAAGGAGTTGTGCAAGACTACTTTCAGCCTCTCCTTGCAATTACTGTTTCCTATTGCTTCTGCTCTCATCCATCCACTGTTTTCCCCTCCGATCCCTTATCCTGCCCTTGACACAGAAAGCCGGATCAGTAGCATGCCCAATGATGCTAATGCCCATCAAGCACCTGCCTCCCTCCTCCCTCCACAAAATTACACTGACCTTCAGCCTGTCTCTCTTCTGCCCACGTTAACTATTTCAAAGAGGTTTTTACCTACACGCTGAGAACACTCTCAGTCTGGAGTCCACCCCAGACCCATCTATCCGAATACTTCAGAAGATTCTTGCCTTTTTTTTTAAATTAACTTTGAAAGCTTCATTGTGATGTGTTAAATAGCAAAAGCAACCCAATTGTGTTGCTATAATGGAATTAAGTTTAGAGCCTTCTGCAGCACTTTTCTTATTAGATCTCAGCAGATCTATTAAGCCGTTTCCTAATCGAAGGATGACAGTATGGGAGGATTCTTTCTCAAATTTACTTCCATTGGAAAGTTATACACCTATCCTCGTAACTAAATGTAGTTGTATTTATTTGCTTACCTCTCTCCAAACATAATTCTAAAGTGTTACAAACACAAGGTTTTACTTCCTCAAACAACTGCATTAGCTGACAGCATGCTAGGAGGTTTTGACGTATGAAAACAAAGCAGTAAGGAAACTATACTTAAAAAACAACAGTAACAGAACATGTGAGAGACAAACAGTAAAAAAATACAGTATCAGAAGTTTGACAGTTTGGGGATGTAAGAAGAATGCAAGTTTAATGCTTCAATAGATTCTCAGCGTTAGACTCTTCTACTTAAATATAAAGCTCCCTTTTTTCAAGGGAAAAAAAACCCCAAATGACTGGTACCACGCTGCTTTCAGAAACTAACACTTTGTAGTTTTCCATTATAATACTGTCACTTTCAAGAAAAAAATATTACACTAAGTATAAACCAAGGTGCACAAGCAATATTAACAAAACATTAATTTCTACCTCAGATTATGAACATGCCATGACTGAACATGCAGTCTGACATACCTGGTGAGCAGATCCCATCAGCATCTAAAATTTCATGGCGCCAGATTGGTTTCCGGGTAGCTGCATCTAACATTGGACCCATAACTTTATCAAATGTCTGGTTTGTGTAACGTTTCAGTGTACACTTGGCATTCTTATACACAAGACACCTTCCAAAACCTAAAATGTAACACAAACTCATCTGCTTAGGAGTTCAAAGATTCTTTATAACACATTATGAGAACAAAAGGAGAATGCAGATCCACCTGCTGAGCTACAGAATATAAAACATTTATTAGTTAGATTATTTGTTATCTTGAACATGCACAGCACTGTACACGGATACCCAGTAGCTCACAATTTAAAAATCAGATCATACATGCTACTTTTTTTAGACACTGGACTACGGTCTACTTCTGAAGTTGTGCCAACCTGCTTCTGTACCTCTGCACACACATACACACATCATTTCTCTTACCTTTGGTGGTCCACAGGGAGACATAATACAGGAGAAGAGACTGTAACGGGATGAGAACAGCACCTCTTCCTTTCAGGAGTTCTAAGAAACCTGAACTTTTACTCATGTTTGTGGTTGACACAAGCTAGCCTGCCACGAAAGTATCGATTGTTTCATATATTCACATCATTACTCACTTTTTTCCCCAACTCAAAGAATTCTGAATTATATATATTGTTATAAAATAGGTTTTGGGTTTTACATGAGAAAAGTAGCGTCTCTGGAGTTTCTCTCCAGGTACAGCAACTAGCCACAACACCAAACACTTCCATCACGTCTAGAATTACAGACAGCCAAGAGCAAAGCTTCCTAATAACCTGACGTTATTTTACTCCATGTGCAAGGTGGCTGCGGCCACCTGCAGTACATCTGCATCTCTACATTACGTCAAGTAACTCCTGACAAGCACCACAGCTCTCCCTGTACATGTTACCAGTCTACCAGAAAAGAAAACACTCCGTTTTAAATCATGCCTGTTGTTGTTTTAGAAAAGGAGGCATAAATTAAATGCGGCAGACATTAATGCCAAAGATACATGTCTAGGAATACTATTATTGCTACCTAGCAACTAGGAGGAAGGGAGTGTAGGGGAGGTGGGAATAAACTCATGGAAAAGTCTGATTTTGGCCACCCGAAACTAAAATCAATTTGATCACACTGCACTATGTCTTCTCTCAAGAGAATTTATTTAGAAAAGAGAGAGAAGAGAGACTAAGCTTTTAGGCAACTCTCCTCCCAGCAGCATTAACATGAAGCGCTGAAGAACTGCGGGGAGACCGGCATAAACGTATGTCTCACTTAGTTGCCTTCTATTTGGTGCTTATGTACTTTCACTTAAAACACACTGCACTGCACAGATTTATTTTTCTTTTTAAAGAAGAGGGTCGTTAGTTTATCTCTGAATAAACACTAAATTGCTGTGCTTTAGACAATACTATTATTTTCCCTCAGAAAGTAGGCAATACTGCTATTGCTCCCTCAGAGCATCAAGTTCACAACGACACAAACTGCCACGTGTTCCATTTCTTTCCCCTATACCTTCAGAAGTCAAATTTCATCTATTGCTTTTGTTACTGGTAAAAATGAGACCCTTCTGTTAGTAATGAACAAAGGTTCGGGCAACCAGCTCAAAAGCAAGGCCAACAGAACAGATTAACTAATACCTTACTTTTTTGGTAAATTAAGTATTTTGAAAAAACAACCATTTACACTTTTTTGAGGACAGAAGTCAGCCATTTTTTCTTACTCAGTCCGTACTCAGAAGATTACTCACACGTTGGGAACTTCACAGCACTACTGCAAGCATGGAATTACAATCACTATTCACACAGAAAACAAACAAAAGCATTCAAAGCAGTTTTGGAATTTGAATTCTTAACTGGAGGTGTACAGTTCACGATCGTAATAGAAGTTATTATAGGGTAACACCACGAGACAGGTTTACTGAAACGTATTAGAACACACATTGGAGAAGTGGGAAAGAACTGATGGTTCTTACCTCTGTCCAAAGAGGCCTTGTTTAAGACAAGAGCATCTTCGATGTCATAACCACTGTAGCTCATCACAGCGACCGTGGCATTCTGTCCAGCAGGCAGCTTCTCAAAATCTATCAGTTCGATTGTTTTTGTTTTTACCATTGGCTTTTGTGGGTAGGCTAGAAGATACATAAGGGTGTCTATCCTGTTTCTTTGATTGTATCCAATAGTACCTGTACGTAGAAGAAAAACAAAAGTGCGTGAATATTATTTATTTTTTCTTAAAGAGGGAAAACCTCAGCATCAAGGCAAAAAGAACAACCACAAAAGGAATCAAAGTCAGGTCCTGTATGACAGAATGCAAATAAGACTTCTTCTTTAATCATGACACTGAACAACACTGCAAGTATGAAGTATTTTACTGTTCCAATGGCCAAAGGATTATTCTTGGAGAGCTGAACTTGTGTTCCATAGACCTGATGCAAAATTTCATGAAAATCAACAGAAAGACTCCCATTGAGCTCAAGAGGAACTGTGGCTCAAGCTCTGCATCTTCCACATCATATTTCCTTCCTTTTCTGGGCAGTAATTAGTTCACCAGCAGCCTGTGTTAGAATGTCACAAAGCATGAACAAAGCAAACAGTTAGCAGCAGCCAAGACTGATTTACTTTCTGAAATTAGAGGCGTCATTGCTACAGAAAGCCTGGAGTAGAAGTTCACTCACAATATATTTGTCTTTTTACATGAAATTAATTTTAAATTTACGGTTCAGAATTCAATCCTTTGTATAGACCTCCCAGCTTGAGACTGAAATTTTTGGCCTCGTCCCATCAGACTGCCAAAGTGTCTTCTAAAATCTGAGGAAAAAATAATTAACACCCAGCAGGGAAACATAAGCTGTTGTGTAGCAGAACAAAAGTTAAGGCAATCATATGTTATTAGAGTTTGGTGTACCAGGACTATGCTACGTCTCTAAGCAATTAAGAAATTATAGTCTGAAAAGTTAAAGTTTTAAAGTTTTAAGATGCCAAATGTTCTTCAGTACTTGTGCTGAGGAGGCAAGTCTTTCAAAACCTTTTCATTTTCTCCTGCAATTCCAGAGGCTGGCTGCTTCCAGGGAAAGGCAAAAGCAGCCAGTGTGTAATGAAGACTTCACACAGCCAGAACATAGTACAGCTGAACACAGACCTGCTCGTAGGGGAGGCCAGCTTCACGCTTTATATGCACCTACTTGCAATTTCCAAATGCCTGCATTTAAATAAAGTTCCTAGAAAACCAAATATCTAAACCCAGGCAGCATCACGGGCATTTCCAAAGGCCTATGCTGTCCTTGACACCAAGCTCTCTCTCCTCTATCACCACAGATCTACCCTTCCCAAGGACGAGAACGGGGCGATGGCTCAACAGACACTGAAAATAAACTGCTACATCCAGCTTTTGCATGCCTGGACTCTCCTTGGTTTCTAGAAAGCGGATTTGAAGGCACAGCATTTTAAAAGGGGGAGGAAGGTTTGGTAGAACTGGCAGGCTTTACTTGTCTCTTGCTTTTGGGCAGTTGCTGTTCTGCCTTTCCTGGAGAAGGAAATCAATCACCCCTGAGCAGTATTTTCTGTCTCCAGTAAGAAACAAGCTGGTAGGGCCTGGATTCATCAACACTGAAGACCTTCCCAGTCACCCCCCAAAGTCCACCATCTGAAGTCCCTATTAGTTCTGATATTCCCTTAGCCTAAGTATCATACACTGTTTTCATTGTACTTCAATTAAAAACTGGTTTTCCCACTACACATTTAGGAAAAGCTACTTCCAAATTAAGAACTTAAAGGTTTAGACCATTTTGTCTCTCTGTACCTAGAAGGAATAGTCTGTGTGCTTTCAGGACTGGTGGTCTGCTGTGGAGCTCATCGCGTTTCATGGATGGGTACATTTTCCTGCTGTGGAGAGCAATCCTCCCCCAAGTAATCCATGCCAATTTTCACTTTAGAAATGTTTGCAATTTTCTTCTCCTCTGAGATGCCTATATGCTGTGCCTGCTATGGTTCACTGGTTAGGGATGCTAAGATGGGACGAAGGCTGGGGCGCCTGATCAGAGCTAAACTTGTCCCTTACACTTCACTAACAATCGGTGCAAGTCCCCTACATACCAAGGATTACAGATGACACTTTTACATATTTCAGGTAATGCAAATTACATCTCTCTCGCATGCTTCACTTATTTCAAAGTTGGCATTTTTATCCTAACAGAACTGTTACTGTTTGTATCAGCCCAGGAGCCAGCAACTGACGTTACTGAGGCTTTGAGTCACAATAATAAACCGTATTTGGGCAATTCTTCAGGAGTTGAATGCTCTATCATATCAAGTGGAAAACATATACATATACATCAATGACGGATATCCTAGCAGGAAAGAAACTGGTTAGGAAGTGATTCAAGAGCACAAGTGAAGTACATCAGTCAAAAAGCATGCTGTCCATCAGCAATATTTGTCCTAATTGCTGATTTAATGGTTATACAAATAATATCTTCCCTAGACTGCTCCAACAAACCACAGCCTTAGACCGCAATCCACTTATTTAAAATTAGGAAGCAGCTCTCTTCCTTCTGAGGACTGGTGTGTTGGGATGAGACCTCTGTGTGGGTGTTGAAATGAAGCAAGTCACTAGCTTTATTTCTGTTTTCTCTCTGAAAGAACAGAGCCCTTGTTTGCTTCTGCCAAACAACCCAGCAAAAGTAAAGTATAATTAAAGTTTGCCATAACAAAACCTGCTCACAATGACCCACGTTTATAATTATCCCAACAGCAAGAACCGATTTTTTTCAATGGTAATTAGCCCTGTTTAAAGCAAAACACACAAGGTTGACCTGGATACAACAAAGATCATTTTCTTGCTTTTCTCAGTGCTTGGTATATCGTGAATGCACGTGTGCATTCTTCCCTTTTCTCCATTTCCTGATAAGTCTTCTTTTCTTTAAAGTTTCATTTGATCATTCTTCAGTAATGATCAGTACTGCAAAAGTGCAGTAATCACTATAAAAATGCTATCTATTGATACTCAGCATAAATGAAATATTGCTATTGTGATGCATAAAGTTCTGAGAACTATCCAGAACAAACAGCCAGCTAAAATAAGTGTTTATTCAATTCTCTGGTGTATTACTTACAACAACATTAAACTGTACCATCAAAATTAACAGGGATACAGAAAACAGTCTGCTTCAGATACGAGCCAAAAGTGCTATTATTGCACATGCCAAGAAAAGAACTGCTGTACTTCTGTATTTCCCCTGATTTCATCATGGATTTTTAACTATTCTGTCTTTTTCTGTGAGCACAAACCAATAGAGAAAGGAGCAGTTTTTAAATGCTACGCTGAACCTTGTGGTGGGGGCTCCAACTCTGCTCAGAAAGGTTTTCACAGTACATGTACTAAGTGATCTGGACGGTCAACATTTGAAATATTCTTTTTACCATAGAAAGATTAAGGAGTCAGTTAACAAGATTATGGCTAAACTGGGGGAAATAGTCTGGCTCGTTTCTGCCTCAGCACTTCTGTGCCTGCTACCAGGGAGAAGAGCAGGCAGAACCAGACCACATCGTAGACCACGACCGCTACTCCTCACAGAGCAGCGGCAGAACCTAGCCCTGGCCACAAAGCACCCAGGTCCAGCTGTGATGACCAGCAGCAGCCAGTTTTGCTTTGACGTCCGTTTCAATTCTCTGCTAGCCATACAAAATTTGGGAGCACTTTAGCTCTCAGCCCACCAACAAGCCCTTCACAACTGTCAGAAACCAACCAGCACGTGGTTCCTTAAAGCACGTGTCTTCTCAACTCAATTTTAACACATTCAGCTGGTCACAGCACAAGGCAAAGCAGTGTATCAAGGGCTGTGCTAGTTCACAGAGGCAAAGCGCAATGTACATGATAGAGTAAGAGGTTTTTTTGTAATATCAAAGAAGTTGCTTCAACGTAAACCTCTGCAACAAAGCTCTCGGCCACCTACCGCCCTTCCCGCACATACCTCCTGCTCTTCCACAGGTTTAAGGAGAAACCCTCCTTTCCTTATTCAAGACTTGCATTATGACATTTGGGTTGAAACTGCAGTGCACAGTTGGGCTGTGAGAGCACCCAGCTTGCTCTGCGTATCCACACTGCCGCTTTCACAGATGTGTATGTGCGTGTGCAATGTGGTGGATTACTGGCAGGGAAACGCGTATATTTTCATTTCTCACATTAGGCTTTTATACAGCACTTCAGTCACAGAAGTACAGCGCGTAAAACTGATTTTCTGTGTCTTAAGGTAGTTGAAAAGCTCCATTTAAAATTACTTCTCTAATCATAGGAGCCTCGGATCCTCTTAAGTATTATTTTAACACCACATGGAATGCAAACAGTAGACTCCTGTATTTTAATCTTAAGTACTTCTCAGATTTTAAGCTACAACTGTTAACTTTGCCCTGAAATGCCAATGTTCAACTGAGGTACTGGCAGCTGCTGTTGTATTTGCCACCTGAGCATAACTTCTCCTCAGTCTTACAGTTCAACCTGCAAGATATGGTAAATTATCTATGCCAGAACAGAGGGATTTAATTTCAATTGAATTTCTGAAAACAGAAATCCAGCTTGCTCACTAAGCGCAGCCCTGGTCCTCCAAAAGATGACTCGTTCTGCCCATGTAAGGGAGGTATTTTCCAGGACATTTAATGTTATCTTGCAGAAACATTAATATTTTTATACTTGGCAACTGTCAGTGACAGTGGATTACAGATCCCACTAAGCGCTGATGTCTACTCTCCATTTATTTGTGCTTTCACACCTTTCCCTAGCTTGATGTTGCTTAAAAAAGAGCAAGGACTGTCCAGAGCTGCTGGCACAGCAGTGTCGTAGTCAGAGGGAATCAGTGCCGAATAGCACAAGGCTCCACTTTCCCAGCCTGAGTCCCGGGGTTCCCTTCATACCCCCAGGTTTTGACAGCTGAGGGAATGATGCAGTAGACTTGGACATGAGACTTTCCACGTGCCAATGTTGGACCAGGAGCTGCTCTGCAATTTCAGGATGCGGAAAGCATGCAAGAAGGGTGGGTGGTTACTTAAAGATGAGGGTTTGAAGCACTACATCACATGTCTTCATAAATACAAACAGAAAAAAGTATGTGTAATGTTTTGGGAATATCCTCTAGATCTCATTTGATCCATCAGTGTAGAGAAAAATCTTTTCTGCCCCTACATATTGCCACTTACGACAGGGTTTTTTTAGGCAGTTATTACAAAAAGCTTCAGGTGTCTGCAGATACTTCAGCCAGAGTAAAATATAGCTCAGGTCATGTGCCAACTTTTAAAATGTACTTTTATCTAGCTGCTTATTCTTTGAGTCAGGTGTTTTGTCATAACAAACCGAAACAAAGGCTTTTTTTATTGCTCAAGATATTCAATGGCTTTTGTTTTTCAGGAACGTCAGAGGATTGTATCCAAGGAGCTAAATGTGCAAGACCTAGGGTCAAAGCAGCTGAATACACCAACCTCAGAAAACACAGACAATGAATTGCAAATGACACTCAAAACAAAACGGGAAAAAAACCTTCACACAGAAAACTACAAAAGAACTCCACAGATACTGAATTGGCTTTCTGTACACACTGATCCTGCTTAACTGTGTGTGGTAACTAACCAAACCTTCTGAGACTAATGGTCATAAAATAGAGACTCAGGGTGGGGAAAGATAATGGGATGGGGGAGAACTGTAAGGAAAAAGATTGCATCGCTCCTCTCTTTTTTTTCTTCTGCCCTCTTTTTTTTTTTTTTAAGTTAAAGGGAAGACATGCATCTGTTGCTATTTTCTGTTATTTTGATGCGCTGAACATGACCGTTTAGCACAAGGCAGTTACTCTGCTATTAATTCTGCTGGAGAAGTCTCACAAAAGGTGCAGTGTTTCAGTTTCGAACACACAGCACAAAACAAACGGTTTAGTAAACCTAACAGAAGTGGTAGTTTTTCCGTGACACAGTTGTTCTACTGTAGCTCTCAACTTGTAAGCCAGCCATCCACACAAGCCACAGAACTGGCATGAGGCCTGAATACAGCTGCCTGACTTGATGTACGACTGGTCAGGTTCCTCTTGGGACGCACCCTGGCTTGATCACGGGCCATATGACTTGGGTGCTTTAATGCTAGTTCAGCTGTGTACTGAAGGAAGGATTAGAGCTTACCTAGTGTCAGTGACCCACAACGGCATATTTACAACATGGTTGGCTCTTCACGACCAGCTATCGCATTTGTAGAAATTCTTAAGTGATCAGGAAATTAATTTTGCTTCTGTCGTTTTGCTGAGAGGCTGCTACTTACCCTCTTCATCCAAAACAGAAAAAGCCCAAAATCCTGCTGCAGGAAGTGTTCAAGTAACTAAGTGCTCTCTCTTGCACATCTTGATTCCCCTTATTTGCTAAGGTCAACGTAACCATTTATTTATTTATTGTTAGGGCACCTACTCAGCTATTCAGGGGAACTCCTCTCTCCATGCTCTGCCTCTCTTTGCGAGAGCACTTTTTAACTCTTTTCATCTGGAAACCCACAGCACATCACAGCATAAAGAGAAAAACCACCCCATTCTGCCAATCCTGCAGTTGTGCTGAAAACTTGAAAATCATCACGATTATCAAAAAAAACCCCAAAAAACCAACAGTTCCCCAGTTTCTCCAATTTTTCTTTAAAGTACTAAGACCTGTAGATATGGTCTCCATTGAGTAAAACTGACTGGTACTTTTTTCTTTTCATTTTTTCAGTTTTTAAAGGCAAATTCTTTCTTCCTCTAAGCTGAAGAAGTGCTCTTTTCCTCTTCCTAGCAAAGCTTTTAGGTGAACTAGGGAAGAAAGAGTTTCTGGTTTGTCATTTTCACTACACAGCTTCAAAAACTAGTAACACTCTAAAAAGGAATAAGAAAAGTCTTACCCATTGCTTGTTTCCCCATGGCACACTGGTAAGTGTTTCTTGGGGACTGGTTGTGGTGAGGATATGGAATCAGTCCAGCACAGACCCCAAGAAGTGTAAAAGGCTCAATCTCCAAATGTGTTGTATCTCTTAAAAGAAAAAAATACCAATTATAGCAGCCTTGTGAACAAACATCTTAACTAGAATATATTTAATTTAGTAGTATCTTGTAATACTTCAATTAAATTCTGTTCAGGAAAATGTAAGTCAGTAGAACCTCAAAATATGGATTCAATGTAAGACTTTTATTTAAAAAAACCCAAACAACCTTTCTTTTGGCTTTAAGTGTTTCCACATGAAAAGAAATGAAGGAGAAATAAATGAGGGTTTATGAATTTCCATCATGGAGAAATAGCCTGCAGATAATGACAACCTGAGGGAGCTCAGTAAGACAATAAAACTCCTGCAATGATTGTCCTCCACATCAAATTACCAGTGTCAGAGATCTAGAAATCCACTGGGGAGGTGGAGTAAGGAAGAGCAAGACAGATTCAAGTATTGAAAAAAACCCCAGAAGTGTAGTTTTAGTTTTCCAAGATTGGTTATAGAGTATCAGTTTGAGGGAAAACATCTGTGGCCAAACCAAATCCAGTGCCATGGGCGATATGGCATAATAAAACACTATTTGGAAAGCGCTGCAAATATTTTGGGAGTGATTACGTCATTAAAAGGCAATGCTGGTGAGAAGTAAAAAGACAGGGACAAGGAATAAAGAAAGAGATAACAAAATTTGTTCTACCTGGCATGTGCTTCAGAGGAGAAAGTCCATGCTTAATCAAGACAATTAAATCACAGCATGCATTGGGATGCAAGCAGGGTGACTAATAACTATAGATGGAGTGTACAATACAGCTTGGCTGAAGCAGAACTGCTTTTTAAATCAAGATTCGTAATTAGGAAATGGGGAATTTTGAAATAAAGATAATTATAAGCAAACCTATCCAAAGCATATCTTTCACAATGTTCTGGAGTTGTTAGACAGAGCTTGGGTTTAGGCATACACTGCTTCTCCCTAAACCCACGAAAACCCACTAAGCACACCTAAACCCACTGCACTCTGAAAATTCTATCTTTAATGTTTGACTTCTCTTGAAAATCTTTTGGAAGGTTGGTGGGTTTTTTTTAATTAAAGAAATTAATTTGATTACTAAACTTTAAGACTGTGCAAAGGCAATGACTGGAACAACCTTTATTATGAGAACAGTCAAAAGACGGCAAAGCATCACGAGCTCAAAAAGGCTGAGGAAGTACCCACAAGTACACACAGACTGGAGATAAGGACCAGCAGGAACTTACATAAACAATGTACATACTACTGGAAAAAATGAAATCTGAAAACTGAAAGAAATCTGGAAACCCTGAGGAGCAAGCCTCGTAAAGTTATCTATCAGTCCCAGAAATCTTTATAAATCACGAACATACTTGGAGCAACCTAAAAATCACCTGCTGACCAGGACAGCTGCTAGTTTTCTCCACTTGATAAAAAGCAGCTATGTTAATTGAAGCCTGTCTTAAGAAAATACAAATGGTAGAATCCCAATTGCAGACAAGTAATTGCAAAATGCTCTCAAGAGCCAGTAGCAAACTTAAAGCACAGGCTGCCTTCACAGAACTGCTGACACTTCTCAAGCAATAAAAAAAAAGGAGGCTTAAGAACATACTGACGGTGAAGTTAGCGACGGTCTTTAGAAGGTACCAGTGCATGGAACTACACATACATTTTCAAATAGGGGATTTAACACAAGTATGTCTCCTTTGAGGCCAATCCCGTTTCAACCAAAGAAGATGCAACACATGCAGATCCTAGTATCTTATGAAGTATTCCACCGTGCTAATGAGAGACCTTCAAACTTTACAATTTCTGCACATCAAAATGCCACTGCCAGAAGTGGGACCAAGAAATGAAAGCAACCTGGTGAGTTTGAAAATCAGAGTTACAAATGGCTAAGGAAGAAATTGAACACATTAAAGAGTCGACTCCTCCAAAGAAAAACCCCTAATTGGATTGGAAAGATAAAGAGAGGCTACTGTAGCCAATAGGAATGTTAATGGGATACTTCACAATAGTGGATTGTATCAGTTGTATTACCAGAACAAGTTGTACCAACATGGTCACACCATTTAAAATGCGAGACGATCAGCTGGGGGAAGGGGGCAGGAAAAGAGAGGAACCATGTGCTCACCCCGTGCAAGCTCAGATACTTATGGCACCATTAGCTACAAGCATGGAAGCTAAACTCAAAACACGTTGATGGACACCCCAAGAATCTCCCAAGTTTTTTGGTGAGTTACCGTGGAGCCGTTTCCTCACACTAGTACACTGTCTCCTCCTATTTTTGACTGGAGTGACTTCATGTGATACGCTCCCATTAATCTTCCTAGCTGAGTCAGGTGTCCTGTAACTTAAAACTTTTCAGCTCTGGTGCTTTGTGGAAGTTATTTGATTTTGGCACATGTGACAGCAACTGAGTGTGCTCTTCTTTGCCCGTGTGTATACAGAAGCCAGCCAAGAGCATGCAAGAGTAATTTCTTAAAGTGATAAGCCTGGGCAGGAGCAATACAATTTAATTAGCAGAGTTACTGCATTTCATCTGACAAACATTAAAGACAGCAAAAGGTCTCATCCAGCTCCACTGACACCAATGATGTGTTTCTACTGGCTTCCGTGAATACTTAACCAGGACAGAACATTTAGAAAATGAATTTTCTGCATAAATCTACTGATCAAACATTTTATGGAGATAACTTCTAACATCTTATATGCAGCCTTTAGTTGACAGGGTATTGTCAGAGAAACATTAAAAACAAGTATCCAGATAGGAGGACATAAAAATTTAAAAGAATCCTTCCATTAACGTGGGCAGAGGAAAAAAAACCCAAAGCACCAGGTCCTTCACATATGTGGAAAACACAAAAAAACCTGGAAATCTTTCTGAATGAAAATCACACACCAGGAATGGGTTTGACATATGTGATACACAGAATGACAGAGCCACTTTTATCAGGTTCTATACATCCAAATGTCAAAGGGAAGGTCTCCTTCCAACACCTGAGACATTTATCATAAGCTGGTTGTCTAAGGTCCCTCTACAGCCATAAGAGACAGATTTTAACAAAGGACAATCACAGCTTGCTAAGGTCATCATTTAACATGTGGAATCATTTGATTTGGGATCTGCATTGTATAAAATTACTTATGAACAGCTCAACGATTAGAATGTTAAACAGGTCACATCCAGAGACACAAAGGATACACCTTTAAGTATTTCATATCTGTGAGAGTTAGAAGCAGGAACAGACTTCCCCAAACCCAAAAGCTAGACCACTTTCTGGAACTATCCCATGGATCAGTTAGCTTTCATCTGGAGTTGTTTCAACCACTAGCAAGGAAGCAGTGTGTACGTGTGGAAACTAACATTATTAACATGCTTGCATTTCAGGGTCACCCTATGAAAGCTTTTCTGTACCAGCGCTTAGTCTGAATGCACACTTACTTATTAATTGTATGTTCATACAGTGCAATGTTACAGTCATTTTCTTCATTCACATCCAAATATTCAACGAGGCCTTCGTGCAAGAAGTCTTCAAAATTCCTACAGTTAAATTAAAAAATTCACACTAGGAGTACTGTCTCTTCATACACTTCTGCAGCAATAAAACTACGTAATACATATATTGCAGGAATGTGTAGAAGTTAAACTAGAGAAATAATTTTACATAAAGTTCTGTGCATTTGACATATTTAAAGTAAACAGTATTTTTTTTTAATTAATCCCCTTGCCCATTCACTGCTTCACACAGTCTGACTGACCAATGTTACTTATCTGAACAACTAAAAACCGTCCTGCCTGTACTCATCATCACTATAAATGTAGGCAAGTATAAGGGTAATCTAGTAGCTTTTTGTGATGGTTTTGCAAAATTTAGTTACAGCTAAATTTAAATGCTTCTCTGTGTGTTTTTTCAAACACCCAAACTAAGAATTTGCAAGGAGTTTCAAAACCAGTTCTGAATATGCCTAGTTTAGGGCAGTCAAGTTTAAGCATTCCTTTGATGCTCGGTTTAGGGCAGTCAAGTTTACATTCCTTTGAAGTGTTCGACTTTTCAACCAGGAGAAGGACAATACTGCCTCAGGCCTTCCACTTGCAGAAAGATGAGGCTGTGAGATGTATTTATTCTGTATAATCACCAAATTTCATAGCAGTAGTAAAGTAAGACAGACTTAATTTGATTTTAAACAGAAAACCTCCAATACACTGATTATTAATTTATACAGGAGAGTAGACTTCTTCTCTACCTAGCTAAGCCCGAGACTCTGAAATACTGAAGTATTTCCACACAGATGTGAATATGAATATGGTCTACTTGAAGTTGTGTACCTGTATCCCTGAGCCAGTTCTTCCATATGCTTGTTTGTAACTGCAGGTTTTTGCTTCTTGACAATTATGTAGGGTCTAGAGTTAAAACAAACAAACAACACAACCCAAACAATTGTAACAGCACATATTTAGGCAGGTAAATCAATTTCTAGTTACGGTAAGAACTCTGCCTATGCACAACCTATTTTATAAACCACTTTTAAAATTTATCCACCTTTAACTGATATAGCCACCTAAATACAATCAGTCATTATTCAGACCTTGGTTTGATACACAGATATCCTGAACTGACATACTGGCTATAAGGTGTACAAGAAAAATTAAGGTTTTGATTTTGAGGAGGAAGCCTTTTTTTCCTCCCTCAAAATCTTTAACACTTAATAAGCATTACCTACATGTTTTGTTGAGGGATTTCATACAACACTGAGTGAACAGTTTGTGCCCAAGTGTCCACCTGCAAGCATGTATTTTGCTTGTTACTTATATGGTGTGAAGTACAGGCATTTACAATGGGTGACCTCAGATGAATCCATAAATTTCAACAGCACATGCATCTCTGAAGGCTTCCTTACCGCGAGGAAACACTGACACAAAGGATGGCATGCACGAATGAAACGCCAAGGGCTGTTGCTATTTGGACAAGTTGCTCTTATAAAGAGCCGCAAAAAGCTACAAGATACTTGTGGAGTCCACTCTGAAGTCTAAATAACTGTTTGAAGACTAATGAGCACTTTTAAATGGTTAATAGGGGTATCTGAACAATTGCAGGGTAGGGGGTGCCACAAAGCAAACTTGGTAAACTCTGGAAAGCCACATGACTTAACACTTGTCTTTATTTTACAAATCAGAAGCTTGGCTGCATGTCCAAACGGGCACAACAGCTGATATTAGCCCTGACTGGAGAAGTGATTTTGCTGACCAGGTACGATTAACCAATGGTTTGTACACGTACTATTCTGGAGCCTCTAGCCTCAAGCTGCATTCAACATGCTCTGAGAGTCAATTAATGAATAAGGAGGAATGCCAACTGTAGTTGTGACTGCTGCTTCTCTAAAGTACACACAAAATATGTCCATAGCTAGTCAGTGCTAAAATATGCATCTATTTATTAGCTCATTCTGCCAACCTCTGCTTTGTTCATCTTTTATGGCTTGCTCTTTAGGCTAATTACTTTGAGCTTGGAGATATTTTACTTGTAAATAACCCAGCACAGTGCTGTCCTAATCTGACTGCAGTCTCTAGCCTCTACTATAAATCAAACTGATTCTGTGTCTCAGAGCATGGTTCATAATGATATTTTCTCATTTTAGCCACCCAACTGCTTTTGGCTTTCCTCTGTGACATGACTGTTATTCAGGCTCTCTTCCTGTTTAATAACGAGCATGAGCATCTCAAAGTGGAGACCTTCCTTATAGGTTTACTGAATTCCCTGCCTACATAAGGGTAAGCAACGAAATAAACCAAAATTGTAAGACACACTTCTTGGAGGTACAGCAAACAGCTGTACATGCCTGAGCAAGGTTTGCACCAGAAGTAAAGGCCCCTGAGGGCAGAGAGTAGCTTCTTATTCTAAAATGTGATGTCATGGGATATCAGGCGAGTGGCTGCTTGTTTCTCCCTTCATAAGAAATAAAAACCCCCACCAAGGACATTGGGCATTGCTGCAGTTGCCAATCAGGTTGATTTTACACCCCTCTCCCTTGTTTTTTTTTTAGAGAATAAACATTTTGGTTTTACTTTTGTTTAGATAGAATGGATTTATTTGGGGTTTTTGAAGTTGCTTGACTATACAGTATGTTTCTCAGATCTGTCTGTTTTGAATGAAGGCTACTTAAGGACACAACAGATGCTCAAGTCCTACTGAATCTGCTTAACTCTGTACTCGTGCAAGTCTTAGCCCAGTGTATTTACAGTGCACAAACCAGTGTTTAGAGTAAGTTCACTAGTGAAATAATTCTAACGAGATGTTTACCTGCACAATCTCCCTCCATCAGAGGAAATGTAGACACATCTGTCAGAGAGATTTGTAGAGATGGAAACAAATTCATTGATATAACCCGCTCGACGCATTATCCGAAACGTGTGGACTAATTTCTGATGATCCCGTATGACACCGAGGATGTTACCTAGTCAGAAAGGGAATAAATTAATGGTGCATTCTTTGCATATTCAAAACTCCACTTAGAAATTCAGATCACATTTACCATGCACAGAAGTACTTCCTACTTCTTACAGATAATAAAGAGTTGACATCAAATTTCCCTTTTCTGACAGGTGTAAGAATTGGCTCTTTTTTTCCTCTCAGTAGACATTAATAAAAACGGTCAGAATTTCACAGGTCATCTACCTGTTTATACCCAAATAGCTTCAGAAACCAAATGGTGTACTTCATCCAGCTTTCTTCGAGTATGTTTCTGCTCAGATGCCCACTCACCAATTAGTGTATGAGCCAACAGCAGTTCTGAAGCCTGCAATTTCAGCTGTACTGATGTGGATCAGAGTTTTCCAGGAACAGACCTAGGAACTGCCCTGCTCCCTTATCAGAAATTTTAGAAAGACCTGATATTTCTGATATATGTGATCACTCACAGCAGCACCAGAATTCCTCCTTCAGTAACTTAGCTCAACAAGCTACTGCTGTCTTAGCAGGGCACTGTAGCACACAATATTCTAATGCATGATGAACAAACGAGAGTACAATTCATTTTTCAAGAGTCACCTGACCAAAGTCACCTCAATACATAAAATAAAAAAATAAGTATGGTGTCATTTCAAACAAAACTTTAAAGGAGACGACACAGCATGACAGTTTAGTGAGTTTATAAAACAATACAAAGGTCTTTATAGCTTAAGGGATTTGTACTTAACAGATTTTCTGTCCTCTTGGGTCACAAGTTTCAATCAGAATCACATCAGCCATCCACAAGCCTGGAATTTTTTATGGATTTAACCCACAAACTAGTAGACTGAACAGTAAATGGTTTTGCCTCACTTAGTACTACATCACCTACATTTGGGAACAAAAGTATCTTGTTCCATACCACAGACTTAGTTTGTGAACAAGAGTCCAATATTTCTGCTCTGCACTCCCCTTTGGACCATAAAATGGGACAGAAAAGATTGCATGTGCTTTCACTGGACCTTATCTTTAGTGTACTGCTACAGAAAAGCAGAGTAAAGAAATGCAGTTTGGTCAAGTGTTGCTTTTATGTTACTGGGAAAAGGCAGGATTGAAGAACAACTGCTGTTTAATTCAAAGGTAAATGGAGAACTTATTCATGGTGACAGACGTTAAATACTAGTCCCTGGAAGTGGATGCTGTTGACAAAAGGCTATTTTTACATCACAGCTGTAGTTTTCAAAATGCCACTATTTTGAAATCTGATATCATAGTACCTGTTGATTTAGAAAAGCTAAAAGATCAGCTGTAAAAGGGACATAAGCATGCAAAAGCACATATGCCAAATCCTCTCTTTAACAAAGAAAAGAGGCCTGTTTTCCAAGGTCTAATTTCTTCTAATCATTCACAAGGCAAGTTGCCCTTTAAAAGGCAATTTTAAAGAGAATAGCATTGCTAAACTTTGCAAACACTTGCTGTTTCCTTTCTGGTTTTAAAGGCACTTGCATGAGTATAAAAATACATAAAGCTTATGGCAAAATTAAATGCATTCTGTGAATGAAGCTCTGCATTCGTAAGTTTAAGTTATTACACATCTAGCAGTGTTATCTTTTTTACAAGCACTTTATGAATGGTACCTCATTTGGTGAATGCCTGAAACAAACAAACTAATCTGTAACAGAATGTATGTATTTTTGTGCCTATTCATGCAATGTGCTTAAAAAAGTACTGAAATTTGAAAAAGCTTCGGGTTTCCCATTTACACACATCTACAGCCAGAGTTCTGAGGACACAATTCAGACAACTAAGTGCCATCATCTGGCCTGCCTCCTATGCCTAACCTGCCTAACTCTGTCAAAGTATTTACAGACTACATTATCTACACATGGAAAACAGCATCTGCAGTTGACTGTGATCCAAAAATTGTTGGAGGGTTTCCGAAGCCTAACTCTCCATCAGCAACAAATCAGAGCCAGACTGCTGAAAAGTCACGTACCGTTAAGAAAAACAAGGAACACATTCGGATATGAAAGTTCTTCACCACAGAGCAAGTTGACATCTTCAACCCCAAGATTACTGGCTAATTTAATAATCGGGCCATCTTCCATATCTGTAGTAATATGAGTCATGAGGGCAAGGTTTTTAACCAAACCACAAGCCTAAAATAAAAAAAATACACAAGTATTAATGCTATACAGTATTTTTCTTCCAAAAGAAAATGAGCCAAAGTATAAAGTAAAAGAAATGAAACAAATTAACTACACTGAAAATTAGGAATGAAGAAAGGAAGAGTTTTCTACATCACACTGAAATGTCAAGTTTCAGTATTTACAAACTAATAAAAAACACAGACAATGAAGTTGTAGCTCTTAAGTTATACAGCCATGTATAACCCTATGTTTCTCTCTTCAAAGCAACAGCTACTTAGAAGCATAATGGAAATACAAAACCAGTCTATTTATTAACTTGCCAGATACCCTGTATGTTCTAATAACAACTTTCAACATTTTAAAATAAAAACACCTAAGTATCTGATATAGTGCATTTCTGTTTCAGCTACTTAATGAGTAGCTCATATTGATTACTTATTTATGCCAGAACGTTCAAAGTTCCACCAGTAATTTCTATTTAGGGGAATAAAAAAGAAAAAGATAAAACCAACCAAACAAACAGACTGTCAGCATCAAATGTTTGGTTGAAATAGCTGGATAATGTCTTTGAAGTAAAACATACAAATGATTTTGGAACAATTTCCAGCCAGTCTGCTCAAGCTGGAGAAAAAAGGCAATACAGGAAGGAATACCAGGATGTAAATAGATGGGATGTGAGAAGACACATAGTTGTGTTAGCAGGCTGAGGATAATTTACCTCTCCAGAAACCTCTTCATCAGAATTCCACCTCTGATGGAGGACCACCTGCTTCAAAGTAAACAGTCTGTCCATTCCTCAGGACAAGAAATACCACAAGCAAACCAGAAGTTCCTCACCTCTCCTTCAGGAGTGTCAGACGGGCAGAGCATCCCCCACTGGGATGGTTGTAGTGACCGAGGACCACTCACTTTCCTTGTCTTTTCAAACTGAGAAGAGATTCTAGTCATCATTCCCAGGGCAGATATATAAGACAAGCGGGACAGTACTTGTGTCACACCTTGGCGGTCCATTTTGAATCTCTTCAGAGACCAATTTCCCTGTAGAATAAAAGGAACATTTCAAAAAAGTTATTGCCTTTCATCCCTCAATACTACAGGTCTTTTTTCAGTATCTAGACAGATTGACACCTGAGGAGCTCTGCACAGCAAATGTTCCCCATTTATATAAAACAACTTTCAAATTACCTATCTGAATACACGTTACTAGTTGTAACATACTTGCGCTAAGTATTAAAAAAAGTTGAAACAAAAGAACTGTTCCTTCAGATGAGAGGGTACTTTTGCTATTATAAATTCAATTACACAAAGACCCTTTGCCACCTGTCTCTCACAGGTAAATCAACACCCTTGTTTAGCCAAATTAAATCATTTCCTGTTCTCTCTTTATAGGTTGTTTTTTTTTTCCCCCCTAGTCTTTAAAAAGAAGAAAGGTACTTCGAGAAACACACACTTCTACCACAGATCTCACAAACTTTCAGTTCTGCCTTTTTTCATGGTTTGTCATTTTGGTAGGTAACACAGGCGTTTATGCTGGAGAAGTCTGGTATCAAAGCTGCCTGTACTTTCTTAAAGCCTTTTGTTTTTAGGATCCAGAGGAAGATGACTCACTGATGTGTCTTCTCACAGAAGAAGGAAGCAGGGTTGTGTCTATCCTGCTCCACTGCTAGGATTACATCAACTATGAAATGCAAGATCCATGCATACGTCAGAAGTTCCATGTTTCCAGATGGCCACAGGCAGTACCACTTGTAGTTTTCATTAGAACAGAGGAGTTCAGAGAATATGCTAGGACACGATTATGCCTCCATGCCAAGCAGGTTTACTAATCTGTACTGTAAGATCTTGAAATTGCTGCCACAATTTTTGACTTCATGAAGTCTACTCCATACACAGTTCCCAGCAACTGAGTCAGTGGATACAGCAAGTTTCCGTCCAATTACTATTTACCCCAGCCACCAGGTTACTGGTCAGCCCAAAGCCAATAAAGATCTCAAAGGTAAAGCTTTCCCAAGGATTGTCTTCTGACAATTCCTGAGGCTTTTCATAAAATCAGCTCACCAATACTAACAAACAATTTGAAGCTCGCTTGCTTGTTCACACGTCGTCTTGGCTGCTCCTTCCTCCTCAGAGGAGGACTCCTCACATGCTGCCCCTGCTCCAGCATGGGGTCCCCTCCTATGGGAGACAGTCCTCCACCAGCTTCTCCAACATGAAGCCTTCCCAGTTCTTCACAAACTGCTGCAGAGTGGGTCTCTTCCATGGGTACAAGCCATTCAGGAGCAGCCTGCTCCCGTGCGGGTC